GACTGACAAGCAACATGGGTTGAAAGACAATTAATAGCTTAGAAAAGCCCAAGAACAGAAATGTGAGGAGGACAAAACAAAATCCTGAAAGCTGAGAGGAAGAGAGGGAATAGCAAATGGACAGAAACAAAGAGGGAAGAACTGAGCAAGGGAAGACATGAAGAAAGACAGAGAAAATTTTGGTTTTTCCATAACTGAGTTGTAACCACTACAGGTTCAGAAACCAAAAGCAACAGCGAAATATCTTTAAAACAATAAAATGAAGACAGATAAGACATCAGACTTGTGTGGCTCTGAAGTTCAGAGTGTCTTTCACAACTGCCTCAGCAGACCACCACTGGAGTTGCCTGGCTTACACCTGAGATTCTCAGCCACCTCATTCTTCTGTCCCGCACACCTGCCATCTTGTCATCTCACCACAGCTAGTTGTCCGTTAGCCAGTGGCAATAAAAAAAGCAACCCATTTTCCATCATCAGCCCCCTCATTACAAAAAAACGCCATTTTATTATCTTCCCTTATATTAGCCTATCAACAAGGAGTCTTTCTCTGCCCCATGTACTGTAAACGTTTTACAGACAAAGCTGCCTGTGACCCCACAGCAGCTGATGAGAGGCAGGACTGAGGTTGTAAACAGGGTAGTTTCAGCCATACTGCCTTCCTTCTGCCTCAACAGCTGGCCCCCAAACTGCTTCTCCAGGTCTGTCAGATAGCATGGATGCCTGCTGCTGAACAGCTCTTGTCAGGGATGCCTGAGGGGTTCAGGGGATATGCTACAGCTGCACTACAGACCCACAGGAGGCCCCAGCAGCTCTCAAGACAGGGTGCTGACAAACAGTGGAGTAATCCCACACAGGTCAGTTAAACAAACAGAGCAAACTGCATCCTTAGGTGATGGGAACACAATTTTTACTCCTTTGGGGTCCCCCCCCCCCGGTCTGTACTTTACCCAAGTGCTCTGAAGCCCAGCAGAAGCATTGTGATATGAAACAGCCACTTCTGCAACAGTGACAAACTGAGCAGCTTGTTTTTTCCACTCCGAGCTGCAAGTTTCGTATTTCAGCTCCTCCTTCACATTCCAGGCCTGCCCAGGCTCCTCTCCAAAGGTTTCGAAAATGGAGCCTCTCACAACTACTTATCCTCTGAAATACTCAGTACCCAAAGCCAGGGTCTTTGTTGTTTTTCTGTCCATGGTTTTGTGTACTGCTATTCTCTGCCTGCTGCAACTCAGATTTTTTAAACCTAAAATCAAAGATTTTTATTCTTTTGAAGTCAAGGATTCACGAGGAAGGATCATTTCCTTGGAGAAGTACAGAGGAAAAGTAAGTTACAACTTCATTATTTCTTGGTCTTGAATCTTTACTGAAAAAGAGGTCTCCATTTGTAGGTAAACAAAAAGTTTGGTTATGGGAATTTTTGGCAGAGATATGTGCTAAATTCCTGTTCCTCAAACAGTAACCTGGAGAGAAATTTAATTTTATCAAGGCCTGCTCCAGGAATTAAGTGTTAGATCTAATAAATCAAGAAAAATTAGGGTTTTGGTATTCTTTACTATAAATCAATATAGCCTAAGAATCAATTTGTGCATTTTATTTTTAAAGAATGGTAGCATGTTGTGTTGAATTCTGGAAGTTGATCTAGTAAATATGATTTTAGTGCCTGTCCTAAATACCTGCTTTTTTACATGCTTATATTTAAATAAAGCTGTAAGTTGAAGTTTATCCATTTATTGGATTTTTAAAACGACTTGTCTGAAAGTAAATATCGTAAGCTGCTATCATCTTTATCTGTTTAATGAAGTTACGATCAGACAGATTAAATTTAGCCTTCCGGCAGGAGCAATGGTGATAGTGGGAGATGCCATTTTAAGAGTTAATTGTAATCTCTACGCCATCTCAAGGGTTTTTTTCTTACTATTATAACTTTATTTCTCTGAAGGCAACTTTGGTTGTAAACGTGGCCAGTTACTGCCAACACACAGACAAAAATTACATCGCACTGCAAGAACTACACAGAGAGTTTGGTCCCTCCCACTTCACTGTGCTGGCTTTTCCCTGCAACCAGTTCGGAGAATCAGAGCCTAGTTCAAGCCAGGAAATAGAATCTTTTGCCAAAGGAAACTATGGAGTAACCTTCCCTGTTTTCCACAAAATCAAGATCCTAGGATCAGAAGCAGAGCCTGCCTTTAAATTTCTAATAGGTAACTGTTTTCTTTTATATATCAAGCTGTCTGTAACCATGGTATTCTCCCTAAATTCCCATTGGAGTTTTTTTGTCAGGAAAAATCGTAGTCTTCATGGTCTATGGAGAGAAACAGGCACTCAGCACTCCATTCATCTCCTTTCAATGTGGATATCAAAAACATGGTCAGAAGAGTTGTACCCTGAATGCATCTGTTTCTCCTCACTGATTTCAAAAACAGCCTACCTTGAGCAGCTCAGCTAGAAATAGCCATTTTATGGATGTATAAACTTGAGTGCAAAGACTCCCACCTACAGAATTGCATTTCAAATTATGTGACTTTTGTTGAAAAACAACTTTTCTTATGGACAAAAATGTAACTATGGAGGATCATAAAATTACTGGAAGATTTTATATAAACACTTGCAGATGAGAAGATTCCTTTTTTAGCAGAGTCATGTGTCCACCTGTATTGTAAAGCAGGATTATATATATATTATATTAGTTATATATAATCACTGATTTGCATTAATTTGTCTTGTGAGTTTCAGGGCCCAGCCTGCAAAAACCACTCACACAAATGCTCCTGTTACAGTAAGCATTTATGGACTTAGAGCCTCATACTCTCACAAGCAAAATTAAACTCTCTTCAGTTGACTAAAGAGCTCATAGATGCAAAACCAACTTGAAAAGACTCTCTGAATTTTCCTGAGTTTTGGCTACATCTTTGACCCATACTAAACATTGATACATGAAGGAAAGGATAATCAGAACATAACTCTTTTTTATCACATCATTTTAACTAGAAAATAAGGTAGAATCACAGAATGTGTTTGGTTGGAAGAGAACTCTGGGATCATCGAGTCCAGCCTTTGCCCTAACACCACCATGTCAGCTACACCATGGCACTAAGTGGCACTTAGAAGGCCCAAACCTGTATTCCATCTCCCTGCCGCAAGACAGGATCACAGTTACCCAAATCAGTACTGCACGTGCTTTTCCAGACTATTACAGTAGTCATACAAGAGATTCCAAAACCTTCCAGCCCATTCCAGTTCTTCACAGCTCCTTTTGTCAGAAGGCTATTTCAACATCTAAATGAAATCTTTCTTACACCACTTAGGTCTGTTAGTTCTTGCCATATCCTCTGTGTTACCTCTTATGTACTTGAAAATTATTACAATTTAGGAGTCATTTAAGTGCTCGTCATTGTCACTGTAACTGTGTTTCTTCCTACCTCCCCTTAGGCATGTCACCAAAGACCTCAGGTAAAGCCTCGTTGCTCTGAGTTGCCTGATGTCCAGTGGAATTATTGAATGCACTCTGGAGGTGCCTCTCAGTTCATTAATAGAGGAGACTAGAGCATGTAGGTACCAGATGGGTGGGATGAATCCAGATTCTACCTACTGGTGCAATCAGTATCAGACATTAATACCTATACAGAAACAGAACAGCCATATTCACTCAGTTGGTTCTTCTTTGATGTGCTATTCACCCACAAGAAGGAGAAAGAACTTCTGGTACTTAAATATTTGGAAGTAAGGCCATTCTTTTCCCACATTCCTCTGCGTGTCTTCAATTAAAGAAGCACCTGTTTTCTTCACGTAGCTGTCTTGACAATCAGAAGGTTGAACATCTTCATGCCACATGCCCTTGTGACTGTGACCGCTAGCTACAATTTGTCTGGCACTGTCAGATAGTCTACTGCAAAAAGAATCCACTGGCAGCATAAACATGGTGCCAAGGCCTTTACGTAACTGCTTCTTGTTGCTTTCATAGCAGTAAGGCATTTTGTTGGGCCAGTGCAAGGTTTGTGGTCTTACCTTTCCTCAAATAATGCCCAGCTTCCTATGAGTTTGTACTTTGTATGAATAATTCATATGCATTGATGAACACTGGAAGAATTTTCAGAGGTGGGGTTATGTTACTTCAAGACCAATCCTAGATTAATCTACTCAGCCATGATATAATTACTTGCTGGGACAGAGCCTCCATGACATAAGCTTTACCATACCCATTTGCTCACCATGGTGTCCCCTTACAGTCATCACATTACAAATGTAGTCCAATGGCAAAATTCAACCCACTGCTTCCAAGAATCAGTGTAGGGTTCAGCACTGTTCTCCACTGGACACCTGTTCAGTCAAATCTCCTGGAGTTTTCTTCTCGTTCTTCTCTGAACAAGAGATTTCCCTCTAAACCTGTGAGACTCTCCAAGGACAAACCAGAGTCAAGAAACTGCTTCTGCCTTCTCTAGGAGCCACGTAGTTTCCTGATAGCCCCTTGATCTCAGAAATTATCTTGCCAGGTATTCATGGTAGCAAAGATACCAGTAAGGTTTTGCCTCGTGGGATGAAAGGAGCTGAGTTAAGCCATCACCAGTACGACTTCCTGCTCCCATTTCACTTTCCCTGAACCAACATAAAACTGGCGATTCCCCAAATGAGTGTGCAGCCCTCATATGCTCCTCCCTAGGAAGCAGAGCATAGTAAAAGTAGGAACTCTTAAACAGGTTCACAAGAAGGGGAGAGCATCATTCACTTCCCACTTTTCACATGAGTAACACCACCCAGTAAATCCATGCCCAGACTACTAGCAAAGAACAGGGTGGGATTACTTCAACATAAATAGTTGACGAATCACTGCAGGATAATGAAACAATTACAAGTGTAAGTCATTAAAGTGATCTGATGTCATTCTTACAGATTCTTCAAAGAAAGAACCTCGATGGAATTTCTGGAAGTACCTTGTCAGCCCCGAGGGTAAAGTTGTGAAATTCTGGAGACCTGAAGAGCCCATAGAAAGTATCAAGCCAGAAGTAGCATCATTAATCAGGCAGATTATCATGAAAAAAAGAGAAGACCTCTGAAAAAGCCATTCACACTGTGAATCCATTCAACAGCATGGGTACACAGCCTTACTACATTCCTGGGAAATGCTGCTAGAAGCTAAACCATCAGGTGATTTTACTTCTCTTTGGTGTTAGTATTTTCAGCTACACTATGTCTATTAATGTTGGATTGGCTCCTGCAACAGCCTTGAGAACCACTGAGGTTACTGAGATTGGCAATGCACTCAGTACCTTGCAGGGATGGACCTTCAATTTGAATAAAGTTTCTGAATATTTCTTTAAATTGCTGACAATAGCTAATTACAATTGTCACCAGCAGGGAGATAGCTAAAATGAAGAGGACTTGTTGATAAATTACTCAGTACTTGCACAGAAGAGTTTTGTTTCCCATCTACCAGTAACAAATAGATTTTGATATTCTATTAATACATAATTGCCCTGACTGAAAGACATGGGGCCCAGAGGCATCATAGCAGGGTTTTTAGAGACAAACGCAACTGAAGATACCAGCTTTGCAGAATCTTCTTCAGGAAGATTACTGAATTGTGAAGCTGTCAACTTAGTTGTAAAAAGCTGTACATAGAAAATAAAATTATAAAAAGAAAAAAAATCGCAAAAATATTTCCTTGCCTGCTTTGTGTTTTGATTAAGATTACGTTTCACCTTTACAGCAACAGTTTAACAGAGGTTAAACTCTTTAGCCTTCTCCGTACATTTGCACTGTGGTACAATGCCTCAGCTATGAGCTCATGTCCTGCTGGATTCCCACTCTTCCAAGCTGGATGAAGGCAGGGCCTCTGTAAATATACATAGTTGCTTACAGCAGGATTCAAGGGGCACCAAAAATCAAAAGCCTGGCACTCTAACAGACATCTTTCTGAGACAGTCCAAGACAATGCTCCTCAGCCATCTACCTCGCATCTCTGGAATAAAACAACGGTCTTCAAGCAGAGGTAGAAGAAGGGGATGAAGGTTCATGCCTCAAGCCCCGCCCTTCTCACCTTGCAGTCTCTCCAGTCCTGCATGTAACTGCAAACCTATTTCCAGTTCTGTTCAACTGTTCTGTTTCAAACTGCCAAGTGTTTTGATTTATCTGTTTTATGAAGGGAAACCAGCAAATTGGAATAAGGAACCTCATTCCAGCTATCCAAGGCTTAAAGAAAAGCTGAAAAATGAGAGAAACCAGTGTCTCAGAAGAGTTTTCTATATGAAAAAGGACTGGCAGCATTAGTGCTGTTCTCTTGTAAGACTAACAGTGACTGAAAATACCTGAAGTGCTTCAAAACATTTTCCAGTAAAGATAGCCACTTAACTGTATTAAAAATGTGAGAAATTCAAAAGCAATTTTAAAAAAAGTATTGTTTCATTCATCTATGAAATTCATTGATAATTTCACAGAAAACCCCTGAGGGATAAGGACATTAAAAGATTTTAAAAGACTGAGTAATGATAGTGTTGTGGAGGTTGAACAAAGTCACGCTCAATAATGACAGCTATCATTTTGGAAGGAAAGTCAAACCTTACATATGACAATTTTAGCCACTCTTAACTTTCAGAGATCAATTGATGCCTATGTAAGGGTCTAGTTAGTCCCACTGTGCTTATTGCTGGTGTTTTAGACCAGTATCTGAGTGGCTTGCTATTAGCCTACAAGATTCCATATCCAATCCATCAATACAGTTCTTGTTCTTATGCTAAGGTCCTGTGTTTTACTCCAGTCTCCTCGTGCATGTACAATTCCAGCCTTGGGAATATTTAGCAGAACATGTCAGGTGATTTTTGCCACATGTCCCTGCTGCTTTGATGGAGCAGGAAGGGAACCGAGATGTGGGTCCTCTCCCCTCACTGGGAGCAGTCTAGATTCCAAGTGGCAGGACACAGTGTTTTTGCCATAAATGGTGGATGGTATCTTTACTTGAAAATGTACATGACTAAAACATGCGTGTCCATTCATGTGCACTGCTATAGCTCCCTGCTTTTCATATCACTGTATAAAAATGGGTAGGTATAAAGAAATGTTGAATGCTGTTAGTGGGACGCAGGAAAAAAAAGAAATCTATTTTAGTCCTGGTGTTGCCTGAGAGTTACTCAGCATACAAGAAATTTTACTCAAGTTCCTTAAATACCCTGTGAAAGATAAACAGTGCAGTATCATTTTTGTAGTTTGGAAGGGATCAGGAGGGAAGTGAGTGTGCACACCTTGCTTGTGATTCACTCATTAAAGATCATACTCTGTTTTTCACAGGGTACATTGTAATCTTAAAATAACTCAATGCCAGCGTTAAGATCAAATATCGTTCCTGATACTCACAAATAGCATGGGATATCAGCAAATGAGCAGATGGAATTATTTAACTTGCTGCTTCCTGAATTACTTGTACCTCAGATTCCCAGAAAAAGAAGGTTTTGCCCGAGAAAAGAGTCATTGGATTTCTTATTTCACCGTTTGGTCACAATCCACTACAACCATCTTATGTAGAAATTTGAATATAAATACCATTCAGTCGTGAATCTACACAGAGTTTAAGTTTTTCAGAGATACTGTTAATTAGCATTCCTCCAAAAACTCAGCATGTTTGTAATTACTTATTCTGCATGAGACATAACAGGCTCTTCCAATGTGATCTTTAGGGCAGATCATTGATAAACTAATCACTTCTTTCTTAAAACCAAGTTACCAGTTATCCAGGGTAAAAATAAAGCATCTTTAACTGCCAAATCTACACAGCCTTGGAAAGGCGAATAAATAAAATGGAAGTTAGGATGCTGTTATACAAGCGCACATTTACCTATAGTCAAATGCAACAAATATGAATACAGGTTTGTATAAATATCCACTTAATGGTTTACATAGGATAAAGCATATTAAAAAATACTGAAGTATAAATGCTATAAACAGATTAAAACCTATTTATTGGATTCTTAAATAATCCCATCAATTTAAGATAAAACTGCTCTCTTTGAAAAGGTTAACAGACTTCAGTCCATGAGTGTTAAAGTTTCTTCATCTCCATTTGAGCATGACGTATTGCATCCTTCATCCTAACACTTCCTTCATTCCTATCTCATGCTTCCCTCACTCCTTAGGTCTGACATATCCTCATTATCTCCAACAGATACCATTTAACTGTCTGCTCCTCTTTCAAAAAAATTGCCTGGGAGTGTAAATATTCTAAATCCCTTTCAGTTACCAGTTGGACATGTCCCTGTTAATTCAAGTATTATCATAAAATACTTGTTTGCTGAGCCAACACATCAATGCTCCAGTAAATAGTTAGTGGTGTAAGAGAAATATATTCACATAGGGCCTAAACCTGAAACTCTTACTTCATACTTACATAATTTAGAAATCAGTTGGATTAGCTGTATAAGTGTGTCAAATACAGTTAGACTTATTTTTATGCGCTACATTCACTCAGTTTGCATAACCTAGCACAGTTCTTTTCAGTCAGGGGAAGGAGGCAGGCATTGGGCCCCATACCAGCTAAGGATCCAATGAAATATTTGTAATAACAGTGTTTATATTCTTGTCTCAACAGTGAGTGCTAATGTGGCAGTGTAGTCAGTTGCTGGTGTATAAAGAACAGCTAACTAACAATACACTGCCTAATCACCACACACAAGACCAGGATTACCCTGATTCTGCAGACCTTCACAAATATTGATCCTATTTCTCTTCCTAGGAGACGTTCACTTCGCAAGGCACATATAGCAGCACTCAGATAAAGGAAGTAATTATAAATCAATCAAAAATTCTCACAATTCTTTGGATAACAGTGGATAACAGAAATATAAGATACCACTATAATACCAAATACGAGCCTGACCAAAAAAAAAAAAAAAAATCAATAATCAGGTGGACCCACATTATTCCTTATACAAAGTAGTAGGTCTCCTTTTTGACGATCAAGGTATGTGGAAAAGGATAGCAACTGCATGTTAGCTGATGTCAGAATTCCAACCAGCTAACATACACTGCCATCCCATCACACACAGATGCACAACCTGCATTACTGGAAATTTGAACCCTAGCACTTTCCAAAGGAACCATCTTTAAACAGCGATGAGCTAGCCCTGCAGCAGGTGACAGTGCAGTAGCGACTGCTACGTTCAGATACAGCAGCCAGCTAGCAGTGCACTGCCTACCAGACACAAGAGTCCATGCAAAGCAAGCTGTCTCATGAATTAACATGCCTGAAAACATCTCATTGTTTACCTAAATTCAGCACTGCTTACCTGTTTTGAGGTTCATGTTTCATCTATGTATATATACAAGTTCAAGCAGTAAATACTGTCATGAAATAAACGTCACAGATAAGTTTCTGATTCAGCAAGACATGAATTAAATAGTGTAAAACCTACATGAGTATGACTAGCATCTGATCCCAGACTGTCCAAAAGGAACTGGATAGTGTGGCAAACAGTTTCTTGCCCTAGTTGTATGAGCACCAATATAGTACGTTATCTCCACAAGCTATTTAGTATCATACACACTTACTTCAGTCCTTTTCTCCCTTGGGCTTCCATTTATGGTCACTGTTGGAAGCCAGCCCTTAGTCTAGATGAACCCAGAGTCTAATTCAGTATAGTCAATTTTAGGTTATTTTGAAATTAGAAATATCATTGGTTACTCCAGTGTGCAACTTACCTTTAGATGATGAGCCACACTCTACCTCCATTTACAGCCACATAATGGAGGATGCATAAAGATCCCAAGATTCGAGCTTAAGGATTTAGGCTCGATGGAGGTAAAATTTTACCCACAACATCCATTTTGATGGAAAGCCCTTTGAAATTATGCTGGAAAGCGGACACCGAGTTAGACTCTTTGTATAAAAGTCAATGAATACCAAATTTGAAGCCTTCCTTTTGCTTCTTAAAAACTGGTCTCAAATGACTCAAAATAAATCTCAGTTCTGTACAAAACAAAACACTAAAACACTTACTTGCCTGAGTGCTGCTGTTAGCAGCCACAGAAAATCACTGGCTAATTGACTTCTGCTTGTTCCACAGCAAGAGGAGGCCACCTCTTGAGTTTTCCATGATGCTTTTGAATGAAACAATATGGAGTGCAGCTAGCAGCTGTTGACACATCAGAGACAACAGCCAGCTAACATGCACTGCCAGACTGTTACATTCTCTTGAGTTTTGGCCATTAGTTCCCCCTCACCATCACCCCCCAAAGTTTCTTCTCCTGGAGATCAG